TCTGTATAATTGACTTAGCCATTTCCACACATTTAGATTTCTGGTCTATGGTTCAACCAAGGACTCTGTATATTATCAAGAGCTTCATTTTACATCAGGACTTTTTGTTCTTCTCTGTTCCAGAGTTTATACACTGAGTCCTATGGACTTCCACTTTCACATCAGACATTTGAATCTTTCTTTACCGTATACTGCTAAGCTACAGTCTTACAACAGCATCAAAAGTGTTTTTCATCCTTTTGTCCTTTGTCTGGTCCGTGCCTCTCCCCTTGTGTCGCATCTTTTATTTCCTACACCTTTTGCCCTTCCTCTTTGTCTGTGTACCAGGGGCTTAAGTCTTGCTTCAGTCTTTTTCCCAGGGCTTTCATCCCTCCTGTACTTCTGTTCTTCATCTGGTTGTTTGTTAAGGATTTCTATTTCAACTGTTGCTCTTTATAGAGCTGCCCTGTCAACCTTCCTCTTTTCTCCCTCTTCCAGAAAGTTTCTCTTCCCCATGTTGTTCCATTTCTTTCATCTGGTCCATCCAACATGTTTCCTTTGTTCTGCCGGATTGAGATTTCCATATTGTTCTTCCTATCCTGTCTGGTTCTTCCATGAACCTTTCATTATTTGTTCCTTCTAAGATATTTCTCTTATGACTTCAATTCTCTTCATCATTGGCATGGTATCTTCATGATTCCATTTTTTATGACCTTCTTTAACATTTCTCTTATGTTTTTCTTTATCAAGATCTGGGATTCCTTCTCTGGACTTTGGCTGACCTAGTAGTTTGTTTTGCATTTTCTCCTCTTTACTTACCTTCCTTTTCCCACCTGTATTCCCATTCGTTTCCTGGTCATCTTTGTACAGTTCTTTCCCTACTCTGTTGTTTAGCTCGTACTGTTTCCTTATGTTGTTCTTGTTCCTATCTTATTGTTCCATGGCATTCCTGCTATCTCTGATCTTTATCCTATTATGCTCATGGGTTGAGTTCATCAACTCCTACACCTGTCATATTTGGTCACCTTCTACATATTGTTTCTTCACACCTAATTCGTCATCTAACTCTATCTTTAGCTGCTCAATTCCACTGTCATTTGGAGGGGATTCTTCCATTATGGGGACAACTCCCTAAACTTTCATTATTCTTTCTCAGCACAACTTTGCTGTTCTGTTTGCTTGTGACCGAGGTAAGTTGTCATCTTTTTTAAAAATATTTTCAGGATCCTACCTGGTGGTGGGTGCTGCCAAGTCTAGTATGCTGAACTTTATATCTTAGTACTATATATGTAAACTTCTCCAATGCTCACCGTAAAGATGGGATGTTTCTGTAAGACCACTGGATGCTTTTTCCAGTGGTGTATCTCACTCTCTCTCTCTTCTCTCTCTATCTCTATCTCTCTACTCTGTCTTATCTTACTACTCTATTACGTAGTTACGTACTTATTCTATTAGTACGTTAATTCTTACTTTAACTTTA